TTATCTATCTTTCTGTATATCCTCTGTATATCCATCACCAGGTTTTAGACACTTTATTCTATTCCACTTGTGTGTTATTTTCTATAACACTTTTTATCAGAGATGCATAGCTTTAAATATTGTCAGTTCATGTGATTTCATATCATGATTTATCTTAGTTTTGTTTCTGTTGCTTTGATAAAACACTGACCAAAAATAACTTGAGGAGGAAAGTGTTAATTTGGCTTATATATTCCAATCTCAGTTCAACATTGAGAGAAGTCAGAGCAGGAACTTAAGGCAAGAACTGGAGAAGAACAAATTTTTGGTCTGCCTATTCCAACAATGAGTGCCTTCCAATGGAAAGTCCAAGAATCCCTTAGTTTGGTATACAAGCCTGGATATTGCAGATGGTTTTCAGAAAATGTTAGAATCCAAGAGATGTGGGCTCTAATGCCAGTGAATGAATGAATTTGCCAATGGGAGTGAAGACAAGCAGTCAGAAGGCAAAAGCTTTCTTCTTCCATGAAATTTACATAAGCTGCCACAAGAAAGTATAGCTGAAGTTTAGGGTAGGTCTTCTGACCCCAAATGGTCTAGATTTAAGCTGAATCTTCTCTGCTCAAATGAACAAATCAAGAAAAATACCTCCCAGGTATATACAGCTGCTTGGGCTTTAGTCAATTCTAGATGCAGTCAAGTTTACAATCAAGAATAGCCAGCACAAAGCCAAGTACCACCTGCCAGCACAAAGCCAAGTACCACCTGCCCAACGGTGGGCTGGGCCTTCTCACATCAATGATCAATCAAAACATGTCATATGGACTTGCCTACAGGACAATCTTTTGGGGACATTTTCTCAACTGAGATTTTCTCTTCCCAGAATACCTGAATTTGTTTCAAGTTGACAATAAAACTAGCTAGCACAATTGGCAACTTGTCCACTTGACACACAAATACATCATCATTAACTGATAACATTTCCTTTTGTCTTTATCCCCAAGATCTCATAAAAACACTACAATATAAAATAGCACAAATATAAAGTTCCCATAGATTTTTAAAAATACATTAAGACTTTAAAATTCTAATTTCTCTTCAAAAGTTCATAGTTTCTTACCTGTCAGTTTCTATAAAATCATAACAAAACAAAATAGCAAGCAAAATACTTTTTTACTTCAAGTGGGAAAAAATAAGCCACAACAGAATCCACTCAAAGCAAACCCAAAATTCAGAAGTCTAAATAGTTTGCTGTTTGATGTCTTAGAATCAGTCATGGATGTTTGGTCTCTAAGGGATTGTGAAGATCTCCAGCCTTGTTATTCACAGCACACACAGCTTATCTACTAGGTTCAGAAGAACCCCATTCCAAACCTTTTGCTGCGTGTGTGTGTGTGTGTGTGTGTGTGTGTGTGTGTGTGTGTGTGAGTATATTTCAGCTTAAAACTCACAGGTCCCACTCCATCATTGGAAGTTGGGTAGGAACTAAAGGGAGGGACTTGGAGTCACACTGACCCAGTTATCATGGAGGAGAGCTGCTTACTGGTTTGCTTTAGATGGCTTGATAATCCTGCTCTCACAGCCCAGGACCACCTGCCAAGGACGGCACTGCCTGTGGTAATCAAGGAAATGCCTTGCAGAGTTGCCTAGAGGTAATCTTCCAGAAGCATTTTCTCAGTTCAGGTTTCCTTTCCTTAGATGACCATAGCTTGAGTCAAGTTGAACAAAACTGCCAGAACAAATGTATTCTTTATAGCTTTCCATGTAAATTTCAAAAAAAAAAAATATTTTGTATCTTCCATGAAAAATTCAACTGCTTGCATTTTTTCTAAATCTCTAAGTGGAATTTAAGAAGAATCATTATCATTTAAGGAATCCCATAAAAACACAAAATTGGAAACCATAAGATATTATCAAATGCCAGTAAATTAAAAAAAAATCAGACAAAGCATTATGAGGAAACAAACCTCCAAAACTACCATTTAGAAAATATATTGGCTATCTACTGCTGGGCATAGAGCTTGCCCTTAAATGTAGTTAATATACTCAGTGAGACTCCATTGAGGAAAATTAAGTTTTCCTTTGAGAGGAGTTATCAGTTGGTGATAACTTCTGGGTTATGAATAGGGTTTGTGTCTGCTTCCCCTCTCAGCACTTGGACCCCCTTGGCAATGACCTGTGTAGGCCCTGTGCATGCGCTACACATGTAGTCTCTGTGAGTTTTGTGTAAAAGGTCTTCTTTCCTTCTCTTCCATGCCTACTGGCTCTTACAATATTTCTGTTTCCTGTTCTCCAGAGTTCCCTGAGAATTGAAGGGGGCATTCATGACAGCCAGAAACTGGAAATATCCTAGATACCCATCAATTGATGAATACATAAACACTATGTGGTACATTTACACACTATAAGGTTATTCTGCTGTTAAATAAAAAAAATCATGAAATTCACAGAGAAATGAATAGAGTTACAAAAAAACAAAAACAAAATAATATCCTGACTGAGGTAACCTAGACACAGAAGCACAAATACATTCTCTTATATGTGAATGTTAGCTGCTAAGTCTTCCATAAGTAGCCTACCCCGAAATTAGGTGTAGAGTAAGGGATTAGTGGGAAAGGAAGAATCTCTCTAGGAAGAGGAAATAGAAAAGATAATTGTGGATGGATAGGGGAACTGGAACAGGAGAATTAAACAGAGAGATGGAGAGAAGATGGAGTTAACGAAGGAAATTCAGGGAGGGATGGATAAAACTAAAATCTGTTTGAGGGGCTGTTCGGAAACCTCCTACAGCAGACAAGAGTCTTCTTAAAAATATATCCACATAAGAAAGAAATCTAAATGGAATTACCAAATCATGGGAGGCTGGGAGCAACAAAGCAACAACTAAACAACTCTCTCCACCAAATGAACCCTCCTGTGGCAGGAATGGATTGCATTTAATGAAGTTGTTGGCCAAACGGGGGGGCCCTTAAAAATCCTGTAACAGTGTAGGTTATCCCCGAGTCTATCGGTTGCTCTCCACAAACTTATGGTAAAGTCCTATTGCAGAAGACAACAGTTACACAACGCATTAAATATCTAGAAGTGAGCCTTATTCTTATCTAGAGCCTCCAACTCTACCGATTAATGTCCATGGTTTCAGAAGGTGGTGTACATAAAGCTATAAACCCTTTGATCTGTAATGGTGACCTGCCTGCATGATACTCTGGTGAAATAGTGACAGAAAAGTCACTATTGGAATAACCAAACACTATCTAATCAAATTTAAGGACCAGTCCATGATATAACCCATACTTGACACTGTGGGGGGGCAAGAGCCTGAGACTATATGAGCCATGAACCTAGGGGAAAACAAAATATCACCATTCTGCCAAAGGAATGTAGCAATTAAATGACTCCTAAGAGCATTCTGCTAGACTCATAGATCAGTGTCTTTCTAGGCCATCATAAGATAAGCCTCCTCCTGCAGAAGATGGGAACAAATACAGAGAGCCACAGCCAAATATTATGCAGAGTGAGAAAACTTGTCCTAATTGGAATGTCTCCACTTAATTACATTTAATAGCAATCTGTATAAAGGTTTTTATATATTCTTCATTTGATTGATACCTAAGATTTTAATGCTTTTTATTGTGTAAAATCTGCTTTTAAAATTCATCATTTACTATGTGTTTCTGTCTAGTTTACAAATAGATCTTTGTATATCATTATTATATTCAGTTGTAGAAGATTATATGCTGTTATTATTTATACTGGTGTATCACAGATTTATTAGAATTTTCAACAGATTGTTTTCTCTGTATAATGATAGTTAAATGTTTTACTTCTTTGCCGGTAAAACATTCTTTTACTTTGAATATCAGATTGTATGTACTGTCTATAATTTCTAGTAAATTTTAAAAAATTGGCATGGCAGATATTTCTTTCATTATGATTATGAAGAGAGATGCTTTGCCTTTAAATATAAAGTTTTCTAGACATTTTAAATTGTATTTAGATTAAGGAAGTTTCTTCAATACCTCAGTAAAATCTTTACTACCTCAGTAAAGTAAATACCTATGTGTCTTCATGACATCTATAAGCTTGCAATAATGCTCTTTTGAAACTGTTGAAGTAAACAAAGTTTAGTTCTTATTTAATTTTATTTATTCTCAGGTGACTAACTAAGTTGATTGGTGAAAATTTAAAATTGCTTCCTATAAAACCTGACTGGCTTTCTCTCCTGCCATTGGATTTTCTTGTCTAATTTGATAGAATAGTTTTGTTTTATCTTACTATATTTTATTTTGTTGTATTTTAAAAGTGACTTTTATTCATGAATGAATGAATTAAAACCTAGGTATTGGGGTAAGAATTAACAACTGAACTTTTATTATAACCGCTGGGAAAGGGAAATTCAGTTTTCTCCAATTGAGTGATACAGGATATATCAACTACTCCAGTGCACACCTCATGTTCAGAGGCACTTGACCAATGTATAATGGATGCCACAGAATACTTTTTGTGTGTTTTTATTTGGTTACAGTTTCATGTTCTTTGCGGTGGCTATATTGTTTTCTTGGTTTTGGCGGGGACTTGTTGTCGTATTGGGCTTTTTCTGTTTGTTGGAAAAAAACTTAAAGTTGGGTGGGTACAGAAGGGGACAGGATCTGTAAGGTCTTAAGAGAGAGGAAGACTGTGATCAAAATATTTTTAAATTTAAAAAATAGTGTTAAATAATAAAGATATAAAAAACTTAACTTGCTAAAACAGAAGCATACTTTCTGTATATTGATAGAGCTAAACTAATTATTTCCGATGTATCTGTACTTAATTATAATATTGGGTGTGAGTATTCAAATTGGCAAACATGGCTCTTCCCCCAAAGAGGAACCCCGAGATCTAAGCCCCTCTAGACATGAGTGACTGACTAAATATTTGGTATGAATTTTTTTTTGACTGTATCATTTATTCCCTGCCTCCCCCAAAGTAACGTGGACAGCACGGGGAAAGACAGGCACAGGAGCAAAGAGCACCCATCGTCCACTCGTCCACGGCAACAGCTGGGAAGAACTGCAGCTCAGCTCAGGAGCCTGGGCTTCTGGGGCAGGGCTGAGCTGTCAGAGGACTTCCTGAAGCTCAGGTACCCTCAGCCTCGGCATATGGAACTCCAGGTAAGCTGACGGCCCCCATAGGCCTGGAGGGTTTGTGGGGTCGCAGGCTGGAGCAGCCTACAGGTCCCTCCAGCCCTGATCCCCTTTAGCAAGGCTCGCCAACTCCTTTGTCAGGTAAGGCAGAGGCCTGGCCTTCCTGCGCTTGAAGGCCTCCAGGTCCCGGAGGGTGCTCATAATCAGCCGATTGAGACTGGAGAGCTCCATCACAAGGCTGTGCACTGTGTATGTGGCATCCTGCATCCTGCAGGCCTCCTGGGCCCAGGTCTCTGTAGGGGGTCTAGGCTGAGCTCTGGTCACTGCCTTCAGGGATCCTCTGATGGCATCTGGGCTAGGGGAAGGCCAACCAAGGCCTGGCACACTCTCTGCAGGAAAACCCTGCTCAAGTAGGACCTCCACGTTGGGGGCATCCATGGCGTCTTGTATCTGACTGTCGGGCAGAAAGTCTAGTTCCATTGCTGAGGACTCCGGCCATGTAGCCTGATCTCTAGAACTGGGAACTGACTGCTCCTGTCCTGCCAGAATTATGGGAATTCCTGGGCTGCTAGGACAGGCCTTGGTCCTCTGGGGAAGATCACTAGCTGCATGGCTATGCTCTAGCTGAGAGGAGGTATGAGGGGACAGACTGAGGCCTTCAAAGTCTTGATGGCAGTTCAGGCTGCTCAATCCCACTACCCTTTGGTTCATGGGCTGTGCCTGTGAAGGCAGCATTCCTGTCCCTCCTGGTAACTGTCCATCAGAGCCAGGATCCTTGGTCTTGACAGCTGGACTCATTTCCTGTTCTATACAGCCTGGATCTCCAGCATCCACCATGGGCTCTTGTTCCCCAGGAACTGCAGCCTCAGGTGGGCTTGCCAGGATGTCACCAGGGGATCCTTCTTCTAGCCTGGTCTCCCTGGGACTTTTTAATCAGTAAATATTAGGAAAATGAAGGCATGAAATGTGCAGGGGTAAAAGAGGAAGGTAAGTAATGAATTCATATCTGGAAATTTTGAAATTATGTTGACATTCCTTAGTTTTTGATACTGAATAGGCAGGTGTGTTTCATTGTGCGATGCACTATGCTGAGTTCTTCAGAAATTCTGTAATAGGCATATATTTATTTTGTTTTACACCTAAAAAGAAAAGATAAAAACTATGTAATCAATAGATGACTGCAGTTGGCATTGTGAGTCTGGGGTACCTATCTGGAAGTGGGTGGTCAGAGTTCCTGGGCCACGAAGTCCATAAGTAGTACACAGGGGTCAAGTGGAACTAACAGGATGAGTCTGGAGTCCTGGTATACAGAGGTGTCCAGAATTTGGGCAGAGTACATGCAAGACTCAAGCAGGACAGAGGTGTGTAAGGAGATGGTGTTTAAAATCCAGAATCTCCATGAAGAGAAAGGAAGGAGTGATCAGAAGGCAGGCAGGATACATCATTCTACAGTAGGTCACAGGACTGGGTAGAATTGATGCTTAGAGTCTAGAGTGTTTATTGGGAGTAAGGGGATGCAAGTTAAGCCAAATGGATTGTAGGAGAAATGCTCTGTAAACTGTGTGAGGACCTTGTATCTTGTACTTGTCTCTACCTTTCTCCCCAAATCCAGGTAGATGCCATAGCCTTCTGCCACCAATTCCACTCATAACAGGGACACACAATTGATCAAGGAGCAGAGAATAAGTGATTGAAGATTGATCCACCTTTAATGGGACGTCTGTATCCCATCCACTCCTCTCAAGGTTCAGGATCATCACAAGAGGAAGATCAGAAAGACTGGGAGAGCCAGAGGTAGCACATGAATACTAGGAAAATATCCTGCACACACTATCACAGGTGAACATATGAAATTAAATTGATTGTGATAGCATACACAAGACCTGTAAGCTCAAGCAAGATGAAATCCTGACATGGACAGGAGTTGTACACTAGAAGTACAAGACCACCCCTAGCTGAGGATCTACTGGTAATTGATAGCTGTTAGAAGATGGAGACTTAGTTTTCTTTAAGTATGTCATTCATAGTATGTCAAAAAAGGGCCAATAGATGACCACACAGGGAAAGTACATAAGCATCACTAATTGGATACAATATTGTTTTAAAAATTAACCAGGACACAAATTTGATTGTATATTGAATGGGATTGTAATCTGGGAGATGAGGGAAGGAAGGGCACATGTGATCAAAATGTTACCTTCTTGCAGGAGGGAATGAGGGGTGGGAGGAGGGAAAAGGGGGATCTGTGATTGGAATGTAAAATGAATAAAAATTTCTTAATAAAAATGCAATGTATGAATTCTCAAAAAATTAATATTCTTAAAAATAGATAATTGCAAAAAATATCTGTGAGGTTCTTAGAATTCTAAAAATTCTAAGAATTCCTATTATTCTCATAATTACCAAAACAATAGCTTTGTTCATGTAGTTATAGAATTAGATAATTAGAAACCATGTACAATATTTCTAAGTATACAAGGACATTCTGTCTCCATTAGCAGTAACAATGTCTTAGAAGATATTAAAATTTTTGGAGCAGTTTGCTATCATCTGTTAGAGAAAATATTTCTGTGGATGTCCTTGAGTTGTAAAGAACTGGCCTAGAGTATGTGAGGTCACGGCTTCTGTCTCGTTCACCACAGCTGGTGGGTGACACTAGTGATGAAAGGAGTTTCAATGATCCACAATTATTAAGTGACTTAATTGTTATTGACTATGGATACTTAATTTGACATTGTGGAGGGAGTATTATAGAGTCATCAACAGGAAAGTTTTCCATTTCCCAAGAAACATTACAATTTACAATTGCTATTTCTAAAACTTCTTTGACACTAGATAAGTCACCTTATTAGTAACATCTAGGCTTCTGAACTTACATTGAGGCATATTTTTCTTTACAGTAGATTTTTTTCTTCTTTTCAATTCTCTCTGGGCTCATAATCATTAAGAAGGCAGAAGTGCTGTTTGCATTGAATGAGAATAAATTCATGTGACATGAAGCCTTTGCTGTTGTCACATTATTACTGTGATTTCAATTGAGTCTCTGGGTGTCGTCCTACGTTCAAATTCCAGCACCCAAATGAATGAAGAGCTGCATGAATAAATGAATGAAGAAATTGTCAGTCTCACAACACATGAGAAATTACTGTCTCCTGGGGTCAGTCGATGTGGTGTCCACTCACAGGTGCAATTATCTAATATCCTTCCCATTGTCGTTCTGAAATATTTTACAACACACCTGTTTCTTACATAGGAGTGTAGACTGTAGACTGCTGTCATAAATTGCATTTGAGGAAGGAATGCCTTGCTGAGGAAACATATGTAACATTACAATATTTAAAATATGGATTTAGAATTTCTAGATATTTAGAATATGAAAAAAATAGATCTTCAACAATTCTGAATACACTATAATTCTTTTTTTGGTTGTAGACAGAGTATTCCCAATAATCACAATCATTTTAATATAATTGAAGCAAAGTGCTGAGTTCAGGTCATTATAGATAATTTAGATAATCTTAATTTCTCTAAAATCCTATGCCATTCAATGTTCCTATAAGGACTTTATTAGATATTAGACATTTATACATGTTTTATTACTGGGTAACATTATTTCATCCTAATTTGGGAATGGCATAGTACTGAGCTTCGGAGAAAAGCATATGGCATTTCAGGAGGCAGGCTTAAGAGTCATCCTGTTGGAACTTCTGGTTGTTTTATTTGTAAATTGTGGGCTTTAGAAAAATCAGTCAAATAATCTCTGTTCCTCCCTCTCTCTTCCCTCCCCCCTCCTTCCTTCTCTCTGTCTGTCTCTGTCTACCTGTCTGTCTTGCTTTCTCTCCCCGTTTTTGTCTCTGTCTGCCTCTGTGTTTTCTTTATCCTGTTCTTTTTTATTTTAATTTTTTGATTTAAAACTTTTTTTTCACTTTACATACCAACTCCTGTTCTGCCTCCCTCCCCATCTCCTGCTCTCCCCACCTCTCCCCCATCCCACCCCTATCCCCTCCTCATAAGAGGTAAGGCCTTCCTTGGGTAGTCAACACAGTCTAGCATACCAAGTTGGGGCCAGACCCCTCCTCCTTCCATCAGGCTGTGTAAGTCATCCCACAATAGGGAATGGGCTATAAAAAGCCAATTCATGTACCCAGGATAATGTCTGGTCCCTATGTTAGGGGACCCAAAAACACATCAAGTCACACAACTGTCTCCCACATTCAGAGGGCCTAGTGTGGGTGCCATCCAGGCTCCCCAGCTGTCAGTCCCTGAGCTCCCAATAGCTTGGCTTAGCTGTCTCTGTGGTTTTTCCCATCATGATCCTGACCCCTCCTGAAATCCCTCCCCCCTCTTTCTTTATTTTATAATTTAATTTGATTTTACATATCAGCCACAGATTCCCCCGTCCTCCCACCTCCCGCCCCTTTCCCCAACCCACCCCCAATTCCCATCTCCTCCAGGGCAAAGATTCCCCTGGGGATTCACTTCAACCTGGTAGATTCAGTCCAGGCAGGTCCAGTCCCCTCCACCCAGGCTGAGCAAAGTATCCCTGCATAAGCCCCAGATTCCAAACAGCCAGCTCATGCACTAAGGAAAGGTCCCAGTCCCACTGCCTGGGTGTCTCCCAAACAGTTAAAGCTAATCAACTGTCTCACTTATCCAGAGGGCCTGATCCAGCTGGGGTCTCCTCAGCTATTGATTCATAGTTCATGTGTTTCCATTAGTTTGGCTATTTGTCCCTGTGCTACTCACAACTCCAGGGAGGCTACCTAGGAAACAGGACCCTAAGAAAGACACAGGGATTGCCCAATGACAGAGAAATGGATAAGATCTACATGAACAGCCTGGATGTGAGTGGAGGTAATGAAGGGCAAAGGTCGAGGGAAAGAGACCTTAGGGGAGTGGGAGATCCCAGCTGGATCAAGAACAGAGAGGGAGAACAAAGAATAAGAGACCATGATAAATGAAGACCACATGAGAATAGGAAGAAGCAAAGTGCTAGAGAGCTCCACAGAAATCCACAAAAATATCACCACAATAGACTACTGGCAATGGTCAAAAGAAAGCCCAAAATGACCTACTCTGATGATAGAATGGCCAAACACCCTAACTGTCGTGCTAGAAATCTCATCCAATAACTGAGGGAAGCAGATGCAAAGATCCACAGCCAGGCCCCAGGTGGAGCTCCAGGAGTCCAATTGGCGAGAAAGAGGAGGGATTGTATGCACGCAAATTGTTGAGACCTCCCCACTCTCTTTAACCAAACTCCAGCCCATATGCTTGACTATGAGTCTCTGCATCTTCTTTAATCAGGCACTGGTTGTAGTTTCTATGATGAGAATTAGGGTAGACACCAATCTGAGTACAGGGGAAGGTTAGTTCAAGCACCCTCTCCACAATTGCTATGAGCCTTAGTTGAGAACATTCTTGTGAGTACTTGGGGATTTCCCTAGCTCCAGATTTCTCCTTAACCCCTTAATGGTTCACACTGTCAAGATATCTCTTTCATTGCTCTCCCTCTCCATCCCTCCCCAACTCACCCATCTCGAACCCTCATGTTCCCACCTGGCTTTTTCAGTATCTAATGAGATGATCATGTATTTTTTTTTCTTTCAGTTTGTTTATATGCTGGATTACATTGACAGATTTTCATATGTTGAGTCATCCCTGTGTCTCTGGGATGAAGCCTACTTGATAGTGGTGGGTGATATTTTCGATGTGTTCTTGGATTTGGTTTGCTAGTATTTTATTGAGTATTTTTGCATCAGTGTTCATGAGGGAGATGGGTCTTTAATTCTCTTTCCTAGTTGCATCTTTACATGGTTTGGGGATCAGGGTAACATACCCTCTTAAAAAGAGTTTGGCAATGGTCCTCCTATTTCTATTGTTCAGGATTATAGGTATTAGCCCTTCTT